TAAACTCAGAATTGCTAAAGAAAATACAAAATAACATAATTTGGAATGGAATAATAATTTTTGTGACTTTGCTATTTAATCTTAGGATAAAATTTATTTCGCGCTTTGAAATAGTTGAAGATTGCAACCAAAATTGGTTCATATTAACGAAATAAAACAAAAAACGAAACAAGTATAATCTTCCAAACACAATAAATTAATTGTACAATCGATTTGTTATTAAATATTGGGAGTATAATGAACTTTGCAAGTAACTATTCATTAGGTTCCATGTCAATTCAGCAAAACTTTTATCGCGAAACACTTTTTTACGAATGTTTATTATAGTGAATGGATTTTACAAAATTTTATTACGAATCAATATTTGTATATACCATTATTATAAAACCAAAATTGCGAAAAGTCAATATCTCTAAAGTGATATTGCGATAATTAGGTTTATGACATAAACTGCCAAAGGCAGTGTTTAGCAAATTGGTATTTTATTATTTTTCATTTGGATAGAGACTACCAAATTTGGGTATAATATTTATTTAAAAAATAGATTTGGGAAAACGCCTAATAGATAAGACCGTCAGTTGCCAATCCGAAGGGTCTAGGTTCGAATCTAGCAAGGTCCTTTTTTTCTGAAGCTAACTTGGTGGTTCTCTCCTAGGGAAGGATGATATATAAAATATCGGAGGCGATCGCGTTATTCCATCTCTTAATTTATAAATAATTTTATTGCATTTAAAAAAATATTTATTCTAAATGCTGACTTGGCAATATTTATCATTAAAGCGATAATTACTAATGGTGTCTATCTTAAAAATATTTATCATTAAAGCGATAATTAATAATGGTGTCTATCTTAAAAATATTTATTTTTAAAACCAAATTAGTTAAATAATATTTTTTAAAAAAATAGGTTGAAAGATCGATTCTCGAGTTTATATAATTTATTATATGAATATTATTTTCTATGATACCCTGTCCTATTCTTTTCCTCAACGTTTAATCTTATAAGAATTGCGCAGTAGAGAGCATTTTTCCAAACTAACTTATTTTTTAGACATTTAGAGACCCATATATCATGGCTGTTAGTGGTCAAACGGCTTAATTTGATCGGATTTTTAAAAACGGCTAACTCAATATTTTTGCCAAAAAAAATATTGTCTAAGCCTTCGTTAATAGATGTTCAAACCTTGTGCCACCTATGAGCAAAATCTTAAGGCTTGCATAATAATTTTTCTAATAAAATATTGGTTAGCCGTTTTAAAAATCGGCTCAAAATATTAACAACACTAGTCGCTGTTTGGAGTTGAGGGCTAAAATTTTATATTTTTTATTAGTTAAGATATATACAAATTCTTGTAAAAATTTTAAAAAAATTTGTGGGGGTAGGTTTGAAAATGTTTTTTTTTGTTGATTTATCATCACCTTACATATATTTCATTTTCTAATTTACTTATAAGTTGGCTTGGTATTCTTTAATAATCTTACTTGGGCTTTATTACATTCCACCTGATAAAAGGGTCCTTTTTTCAAAATATTTATTTTTACCCAAGACCCTTGTATAACCCAGGCGGGCCAGGTCTCTGAGTAATTGGTTTTATTTATTTTGACGAATACCTATTTATATTTTGCGAAAAAAAATTATATCTTAAGTTTTATCTTTTTGAAAAATATATAGGATTTATACATTGCCTTTAGCGTTTTCGCTTTATGACAAGTTTAATTTAATTTCTTCATTAATTAAATTAAAATGCCTTTATAAATTCGGATATAATGAACAGCTCCATTTTTTTGATCAATTTTTTTTTGTTAATACCAATATTTTAATTACATTTTTTTTTCTTCGTCTATGTTCTTAATTCTAAATTCCATTTAAGAAAACACCTGGACACCATTTTTTGATTTATTAAAATAGATTTTGACATAAGGTAATTATATCTTTAAAATAATCCTAAAAAGTTATACTTATTCCTATTTTTTAATTTAAAAATCACTATTAAGAAAAGCTATTAAGAATTTTAAAAGAAAATAGGAGGGTCAGAAGACACAGTCTTATATTTCACACTAAAAAAAAACTAATATCCATCATTTTGAAATAGGTTTTAAAAACTTGCTCCAAAATATTTCATAATGTGTATTTAATAATCTAAAACTATGTAATTTTGTTCTTTCTATTATTTAAATTAGGTTTTAATTTGAAATTTTTTAAAACATGTTTAAAACCAATTTTTTTTTGAAAAATTATAAATAAAATTAATAGAAATCTTCTTAACAAAAAACCTAAAAAAACAATTTTCCAATAGATAGATCTCCCTATTAATATTGAACAAATATATTAGCCTAAAATATTATGCAAGTCTGGACATTCTGATCATAGATGGCAGAAAGATTTGGACATCTATTAACGCAAGCTCGAGGCTTGCATAATATTTCTTGGCTAAAATATTGGGTTAGCCTTCCCTTTTATAGAAATGAAAATATATTACATTGGCATTATTCAATTTATTTTTAAAAACAATTCTCCCTCTTGCGGCTTACGCAACATCAAAACTGTAAATTTTTAATATAAACGAATAGCTATGTTTTTTTTAAAACGAACCTTGTAGTTGTAATTGCATTAATTGTTTTTGGTCATATTAGTGTCTAATTCTTATTTTGCCTATTTATTTAAAATTTTTTTAAAAAAATTACTAAATAATATTCATCTTATTTTATTTTAAAAAAAATTATATATTTTTATTAGTATTGTTAAACGGCTCGTTTTGAGTCTATTTTTAAAATCGGCTAACTCAATATTCCACCCAAAAAAATACTACGCAAGCCTGAAGACAAAGATTTAGACATATATTAACGAAATTTCGAGGCTTAGGCAATATCTTTCTGTCTTAAATATTGATTTTTAGCTGTTTAAAAAGATCGGCTCAAAACGAGAACACTAATTTTTATTTTTGAAACCTATCATTTAACTTCTCTTTTTTTTTTGCCTTTTCATAAAAGTTTTTTATTATTTATATGGGGGGGGGGGGGGTGTGTTTAAATTTTCGGGTTAATAAAACCAGAGGATTTGTTTTAAACTTTAAAGTAATAAAAAAATATATTAACATTTTAAATTTACAAAATAATTTTTATTTTACCCTTTGTCAGCAGTTTATATCAAAACAATGAAGAAGATTTATTTTTTGCTACTAATATACCTAATTTGATAAACAAAATTACTTCATAATGATTGCAATTTAAAAGGTACAAGAGTTCATACACATTAGCTCTCTTCGTTAAGCGATATTTAAATGCGATTAATTTGTAAATATATGATTCCCACTAACCGTTAGGAAAATTGAGTTTGAAAGACATAGATTAAATTAGAAAGTATTTTTAAAAAAATTTAAGATCAAAGAGGCAAATATGTATATTTATATACTACATGAGACTTGTTGTTTTTACAATAATATATACTCATTTTTATTTAGAATTCGATAAGACACAATCTCTCATTACATAATCGATTTATTCGGGTTCAAAATGAGGGTGCAGGTAAAAGCTCCTGGTGGATGATAAATCCAGAAGCCAGGACAGGTAAAACGGTCAGAAGACGTGCGGCCACCTTAGATAATACAAAGTCTTGCATTACCAAACGTGGTAGGATTAGAAAGAGAACTAATACATTGCAAAATAATAACCTCAAGCCTAATAATCTATCTAACTCCTGCTCACCCAAAAATGAATATTTAATGCCTCAAACAACCCCTCAATCTCTTTATAAATCCTCAGTTCTTCACCAAACGCTAACAACATCTCAACAAGTCAAAATACCTTCCTTTTTTCAAAGAAATAATAGCTTTTCTATAAACAAGAACCCAAACAGTCCATTATCAACCTCGTACACGGCATCTCAGCAATCTTCTCTAACTGTTGCAGGAAATGATAGATCATCAATAATTTATTCACCGAGCAATAATAATCGTGATCATTCCACTGAAACCTACACAATTCCTCAAAATGTTAGCATGGAATTCGCATATGATAATTATAAAAACCACGATTCTAGGATGTCTTTGAAAGGTTTAGTACGGCTTTCCCTTCCCTAACGCACTTAACAATTAAATTATATTTTTTTATTATTGATATTTAGGTCATAATTCTAATGGTTACCAACATGTTATAGAGTATAAAAATGATACTTCTCAAGCAACCAACCGTGAATATGACAAATTCTTGACAAATAACGATATTTATCATTACAATAGACCTGATTCATACATGAAATGTTATATGCCAACTTCTTCTAGTAGTTACCAACTTAATGGAAATTTCAACCAAGCTGACTCCATGGATTATAAAATCGCTTCAAATTTTGGAAATGAAGGTAATAACATAATTTGGTATTTTTTCAAATATAATATTTATTTTTTCAGAGCTTAATTTTAATTAAAAATATTGTATCTTATTTTTAAAAAATTATAATTTTTTAAAATGTATTGTTAATTAGTGTACAAAATCTGTATAAAAAAATATTAATTAAATTATACGATTATCTATGTTAAGGGTTTCTCAGTCAACCTCTTGTCTAATGCCCCAATTTCCTTTACATAGATGAAGCTAATATCACATATATTAATTATTATAAATAGATATTATTTATTATAGCCAGTCAATTCAATAAAATATTTATCATTATATTTCTATTATATGATAACTGGCAAATCCTAATTTTATTGGAAATCAATTAAAATTATTATTGGGTAAATCCACTGAGCCATCTATCAGTAGAAAAAAATGTCAAGCCATGAGGGGCAAGTTTATTCTGCTCTTTTCAAGGTTGACGAAACCCGCGAGGCTGAGATGATAATTTCGGCTAACCTGATTAGCTATTTTTGTTGAAAACTCGGCGTAACCATTTTTGGTAGTTTGGAATAGGAATAAAGAACCCTCCGGTCATATCATGGTTCGTCTTATTTCTAAACAGTCATCTGTTTAACCTTTTTTATGGCTTCCTTCTAATTAGCCTAAAAATGAAGTATTTTGATTTATTTGTGGAAAAAAAAAATAAAAATTATAATTCTAAAGTCATTCATTCAAATAGGGTGTCTTAAGTTCATTGCCTTGGGCTAAACGAAAATGAGTTTCAAAAAATAAGAGGAACCAGAATACGGCCTCAGAATCGGGATAAGTCTAGTCATTTTCGTTTAAAATTTAGAACCGAAACCCATTATAAATTTTGCGGGAACAGTTCTAACAAAATTAACAAGTAAAATTAATATTTGTTTACAGAGTGTTTATATATTGTTTAAAATTATTTTTGTGATTATTGTAAACAAATTTTGAACCGGAAATCGTAAGCGCAAATACAAGAAGGAAACCACCTTTCAAAATTCTAGTAACCGAAAAACATTTTTAGATCAAGATTTCAAACTCTGGTTTTCGGAATCGTCTGAAAAATGGAGCGATTTACCCAACTATATTTACTAAAACTAAATCAAAAAAATATTTTTTTTTAATGGGTATGAATAAAAATATTTATGTAAACCCTTTTTACGAGGAAAATTTTGTTTCATTTTGTCAACATGGGTTATGCATAGTACTGGCTTACAATACCATTGTAATAATATTAATTCCGAACTAATATATTGGTTTAACCAATATTTTCTTAAGATTCTAATACTAGTTAATTATATTGGTTCATAGGCGTAGCCGGGGGGGGGGGGAGGAGGGGAAATTTCCCCCTTCAGAAATTTATCACTTTTTGTGAATATCATTATAAGCTAATAAAAAATATCCCCCTTAGCCCCCCCCCCTGACCCCCCAAATATGCATATATCTTAAACAATAATTTGAAAGAAAGAATGTAAAAGTTGATATTTTTTTAAACTAAAACTATTAATCATAATTTATACATTTTGGAAAAAAGCATTTATATATAAAAAAAAGTGAACAAAATGTTTTTTATAAAATGGAATATAAGCCAAAGATAAGTCTTAAGACGTGAAATGTATTAATTATTAATAATAAACCCATTAAATTACTAAATAATATAATATATCAAATATAATTTTTTATAAAGTGAATAATTTTGATATATTTATTTTAATAATAAATCATAAATTAAATAAAATAAATAATGCACAATACAAACAGTGGAATATTATATGTCGTAGATTTACAGTATATCTAATTTTATCAATTATCATATGACAACTAATACTTTTTACCAATTATCATATGACAACAAATAATTTTTACCAATATAGCGAATTATATATTTTACAGAAAACTATAAAATATTGATAAGGACATCAGAAGATATCTTTTAAAGACTTTCTGGGATGAATAATATGAAGATTAATTTTTAATATCATTTTTTATTAAAAATAAATAGATGGCGTTAATGCAAATTGTTGCTATTTAACTGTAATATTTTCTCTAACTGTCAAATTGTCTGTAAAAGGGGAATTTTACCTAGTATTTTGTAACCAATTCTATATAATAGAGGAATATCAACTATTATGTCTACTTACTTTTTATAAAATTTATTATACTTGTTTGGAAATAATGATTACCATGTTTTTATATTTATATATATACAAGTAATTTTTTTTATTTATTATACAAGTAATTTTATATATAATATACAAGTAATTTTTTACATTTATTATTAATTTTTTATATTTATATAAACTAATAAAAATATATTTCATATTTGTTCCAGTTATATATTTTTTTTATTAAAATTAACTTCCTATCTTGTAAAAATATTTTATAACTATATATAGACTAAGGTAACCCGACCGAAGGCCGGGCAAGCGGGCCGAAGGTCCGTCCCAAATGAGGTCTGGGGGCGAAGCCACTATAAATTTTTTAATCCCCCCCCCACTTAGGAAAATCCTGGCTACGCCTATGTATTGGTTTTAATTATTATACATAGAGCTTAATATAAGAATCAAGATGATTATTTTATTATTAAAACTCTTGATTTTGTTTAAAATAAATATCATGTATCAAAAAGGATGTAAGCTAGATGATTTTCCTTGTGAGTTAGAAAAGATTCCAGTCATCATAATTTAAAGTTTTAATTTTCTGTATTCAACTTCAATATTACGATAGGCTCATTGAACAAATGATATGGTTTGGATGTATTTCCATTTAAAAATATTGCTTTCAGAGTCATGGATGCTAAAAATATGATAAATATACTTAAGAGATCGAGATATTATATATCTTAAAACTGCATTCAAAGTGGAGACGGATCCGTTTTTTACATCCGTTCCGTTAAAGGTCAATCTCATTAAAAATGATATATATGTTCAAAGGGCGTCCGTTCCGATACGTTCCGTCTTAAAAAAGGATCGGGCAAATTTTGACTTTTTGATCCGGCAAATTTTATAGAGCGTTATAACGTTACTTATAATTTTTTAAAAATGAAAATCAATATATATATCATTTTTAATGAGATTGACTTTTGACGGAACGGATGTAAAAAACGGATCCGTCTCCACTCTGAATGCAGCCTAATGGTTGCACCATATTTTGCTGTAAATTCAATGCAAAAATATATCACTAGGTAAATCAGACATTTAAGATATTTTTTAAGCGTTATCCAAAAAATAGACAAAAATTATAGGAAATAAATGTGAAACTACAAGATATTTGCGATTATTTTTAAATAATATTGGTATTACTCTTAAACCAGTGGCGTAGCTACGTGGGGAGGGGAGGTTTCGGGTTTAAATCACCCCCCCTCCTTGGGGCAATTTTTTAAGATTATACGTTCAAAAGATTCAAAAACTTTATATCAAATAAATACCATGAATATTAATATTTTCCTGGTTTTGATGTTAAAATTGGTAATGGCTCAATTTGAGCCGATATGGCTAAGTCAATATATTAGCCTGAAAATTTTGCTCATGGATAATACAAAGGTTTAGACATTATTCGTGAAATCTATAGGCTTGAGTAATATATTTTTGGCTAAAATATTGAGTTAGCTGAAAATGTTCTATAATTCTAGGACTTTTATATTATAAGAAAAACAAATATGATTTTTATGATAAACCCGGCCGAAGACCCGTTAAAGGGGGGTCTGGTGGGGGGGCGAAGTCCCCCAAGCTTTTATATGTATGGACCCCCTCTAAGGAAAATTCTTAGCTACGCCACTGTCTTAAACCATTATATTATTTCTATTGGATTGATTTATCAACGATAATAAGCCAAATTTTAATCCAACTTACCCCGGTTCATTGTTTTTAAAAATTTAACCATATCGCTCTTCCATTTTCCGAAAAAATTTGTTTATCACGCCAGTCCAATATTTAAAATGATTTGACTGTTTGGTTTGCTCTTTATTTTCACTTAATCTTATAAAATATTTTTAATTAATAAATATAAGCCTGTTCTGTTCATTTCACCCCATAAAATATTCCAAATTTGTACTGGTTCACTTATTGTTTTAAAATTATTTTTAGCCCGTCCTTATGATTTAAATTTCTAACTCACCGCCCACCCAATAGTATGGGCGAGTGGGCCAAAAACCTGTCCTTTAGGCCTCTAATGTACACTGAGTGGTGTAATTTTTTAAAATCAATAATATAAATTTTGTAGTGGTGTATTGGTATTGAAACTAATAAAATATTGGTATTTTTACCATCCCTTATCGAGCTCAAGTCGATCTATCCTCAAATTGTGCAATCAAACAAATTTCGGGTTTTCCTGCTATAATGTTAATTAAAAAAGATGAGTTTTAAAATTTTAATAATTTCCATTTTTTACCCTAACCAATTATAAATAAACTGGTTATTTATTTATTTTACTAGTTTTATTTATATCGAATAAATTATTATAAAAAATCCAATCAAAACTTATATTTAATCTAATCATGGGTAGAACGAATATTATGACAAAGGAATTCGTAGTTGCAAAGACAATGCTTAGTATATCTGTATTTTAGTAATTGATTACTTTTAAAGAATTTATACACACATCTTCGTTATGGTATATTAAAGATATTCTATTATTTTTATATTATAACCCAACTAGTTTCTTATATTACATTCATCAGTGATGATCGTAGAAAACGATAAAAAATTAAGATTTTCTAAAATTACACATAATCTTTTGCTAGCTGTATTTTTTTGAAAGGGAAAAAAAGAGGATTCATTTTTTAAGTGGAAGGTGACGCATGTATATAATTTAATAATCATCTAGGAAATCAGTTTAGCATCACCTTTATCTGCCAGTGGTTGTTGGCTCTGAATAATTTACCAACCATTCATAGATCACCTTTTCATCAAGAACATAATTCATCATAATTGGCGTTCTACTTAACATTTAAAAAAATAATTGAGGTCGCTTTTAAAATGAAATATGATTATCTAGATGTTAATTTTAAAAAACAAAATATTAAGTATTAACATATTTGTAACTCTTAAACGGTTGTATTTTTAAAAAATTTGAGCCAAAATAATGAATTTATTGACGATGATTTTTTGAATCGTAATTAATGAGATTTTTTTTTTTAAAAAATTTTTTTGGAAGTATATATTTTGACTGATATCAAGATGAATGATTTATTCGGTAATTATAAAAAACAATATAAGAGTAATAGTTTTGTCCGTTTTTACCGCAAATATGAAAAAAGGTATATTTTTTTATATACATTGCTGCATATTTGCAAAATGGGCACATATCAAGATCAGTATTATATTTAAAGAATTTAAGGAATGCTTGAAAATCGGTGTAGTTTTAAAAAAAAATTTTGTATTTTCAAAAAATCATTTGTTTCTGTTATAAATGAATAAATTACGATATTATTTCAACAGATAAACTGGCCGGGAATAATTTATACCCCAATATTTATTTGCGTAAATTCGAAAACAATATGGTATCCCTGATAGACTCTACATCCGGTTCAAACAAAGTAACTTCGTCCTCACCAACACCCTCAGAAAATATCGAGGACAGTTTACTGCGACAAACATTAAAAAAACCAATCCACGAACCTTATTGTCACAGAAAACTTGTTAAAGAACACTACATGGATCAAGTATTTAAGTCCGAATATTGCGAAAAAGAAGAAGGTTCAACACCCATATTATTCGCCAATTATAACATAAACACAAATAATCATCCAATCAAAAACAAACTTCAAGAAAATTACCACCACAATTCAAATGATTTGACTATAACTAATGGAAATTTCGCTCACGATAATTATTGTTTTCCTAAACAAAAACGCGATTTTGAACATTACAAGTCTCTCCCACTTCCGATATTATGCCGAGATCAATACACCAATTCTGTCATAGCGGAATCGGGTAAATCCAAATCTGAATGCCCTCCTTTAAAATACTTTTTTTCGTCTAGCAATCAAGTTTCAATATAAAGAATGGAGTTTGTGTGCCCAAATTCCTTCAAAATTTAATGATAAAAAATATTTGAAAAACCGATTGAAATAATGATGTTTAACGCAAAACGTAATTTATCAATTGAAAATTTGCTCATAAAATATTTTGTTATATGAAACGAAGAATGATTTATAAAATAATGTAATATAAATTAATATTAAACTTTCTTATATACTATATTATAAAATAGCAGACTTTTTTTTAAAAAATATATATAATTATTTATAATCAACATTTGTATCTGATTGCCATAAATATTCTATAAGTTACAATATTGTTAGGTGCTTTTGTCTGGAAATTGATGAAAGTAAATATTAAAATATTATATTTTTTTTCTAACAAAATATGATTTCGCTCAAAAAAAAATTTGCAATTCAATTTTGTTTATGTAAAGTTTAGTTTTCTATATAATCATTTACATAATATTTTTTAAATCATAGTCAAAAGTCAAATTTTATACCAATGATAACAACCTACCTACTATTTTTTATAATCTAAATAAAATTCAAAATTATATATATTTTAAAATCTTATTATAACTTTTCGTATCAAGAGGAAGATATCTTTCTTTTTTTTTAAGTTTAAAATTTTATGGGGTGCACTTAATTTTATATAGTGATTTAATATTTTATAAAGTGATTTAATATTTTATTTTATGTGCTATATATTTAAAAGCTAAAATGTAATCATTATTTTGTAAAAAGTATCTCCGTATACATTATATTTTTTAAAGAGTATGACCAATAATAAAATTTTATGTATTTTTTTTAAAAAAACAATAATATATTTAATAAATGTATATTTTTTTGGAAAATTGTCAATTTGTTCAATCATATAATAAAGGTTTATTTCAGATTCTTAGAAAATACCAAAAATTAAATAAATAATTTAAATCATCAAATTTTTATATAACTTCAAAACTATAAATGCCAATTATATTTTTGTATATAACATATTTAATTTATTGGCCATTTCCATTGATTCTGAGGTGCTTCTTTTTGTAAAGATTCCCATGGTTTCCATATTATCATTTTCTTTACTAGATTCAATTCATTTTCTGCCTAATATTTTAAATAATATATAACTTTATGATTATATAGCTCAATATAATATTTAAAATTAATTTTTAGCAGCTAAAATAAATATCACAAAATCTAAGGTCAGAATAAAATTTTACAAAAATATTAATATAATATAATCTTATCTATATATATAAATGAAAACCAATATTAAAAACACCCCCTGGCATTTAAAAATTTAGAAATCAGCTTTTGAAAACAAGACCCCACTCCCAATACAATATTCGAAAAATGTGTATAATTAAATTTTAAGCAATTAGAAAGTTGCAAAAAACATGAATGAAATTATATTCTAGTGATAAATGTGCTCAGTATGTGGAAACCACAAATTTTAAGAGAAGTTTTTTGTGAGAACTACCTACACAATTTTTAAAAAAAAGTTATTAGCTTCTTCATTATAGTGTCTAGGCATAATGCTGGATGTCACAATACTATATGCATTCTTCAATAATGTAAGGCAAATTAGATCTTTTAACATATTTTGAATGAAAATTGAGTGGGTAAAGTATATGTACAACCATGTGAGTGAGAAGAGTAACAATTTTGCATCATAATTGAAGGCATATCAAAATAAATAGTTGCTCAATGAGAGTAAGCCATATATAATGACTTAGACTTTAAGCAATTTGATTTCTTTTGGGAGTTTAGAAGGATAGAATATTTCATGTCCTCTAATAGTCTGCTTGGAATAAAGTCATCAGTAATATCGAGTCTTTTGAGATGAGGTAACAGAGTCCATGTCCCATGATCTCAGAGTGAGGTAATAATTATTATTATGTCCAATCAAATAATCCAGATTGTTGTGTGAAGCTAAGCTGGGTTTGATGAAAACCAAATATGAAAATACTATATATTTTAAATTCATTTACTTTACATTAATAAAAATATAAATAAAATTATTAAGTACATTTATATAATAAAAATCTTTTATTAACTTTACCAACCATATGCTAAATAATTTATATTACATTCCAAGCAAACTAAGCCATTCATTTGTTATAAATAGTATTTAACCACATTTTAATGATTTATCAATGGTCTTTTTGCCATGCAAATAATTACTGGAGGCAAAGAGATAAATCTGTTCGAATATATAATATGTATAAGTACTTATATTGATTGAAAATAAGACAAAGCAATATTTTATTTTATGTTATAGAGCTGAACACAAAATTCTATCCTACATTCCTAAACCTCATTCAAGGACAGACATCAAAAATAATGAGAATCGAATCTTTTATAACATGTATTCAAAAAAATTGTCAAAATATTAATCATTTAGTGTAAAAATAATGCCATCTACACCATAAATTCTCCTTTATTAAACCTACAAGCTTGCATTACAGGAAAGATGGACTGACTCAAATCTTTGTAATACACATAACTTACAAAAAATATGTAGGTACTATCAGGAAAAGCAGTAAGAGCCGTGAAAAACTCTGACTAATGGGTATGTGTTGTTCTCCATATAATCTAGATCTATTAAACCTTTTCTTATTGATGTGAACGTTGCCATTAGAAACATATATTTAAAGTTTTTAAAAATATATAATGTTTAAATATTTTGTATTGTTATTTAAAAAATGAGCCTTCTATCAAATATTGAGGAAGAGGTTGAAGATGAACTTGAATTATTTTTTACCCTCTATTTAAATTTAGTAAAAATCAAATGGGATCATCAATGCACCAATTTGACATAAAACAACCTATTTATAATTTTATTGAAAATAATTTTCCCACTGGAAGGGTTAAATGAAGGAATAGCCATGTAATTATTATATCCCTGGGTCATATTCAAATTTTTCAATCCAAAATCAGTTGGTTATAAATAAATGTCAAACTTTAAAAGAAAAGGATATTAATTAATAAAATTATGCAAAGCTAAGAATATATATAAATGACAATATAATTTTAGTAATACCATATGAATTGTATTTATAAAATTACCTATATGTGAATTTATATAACAATTTAAGATAAACATAAGATGGTACTTTCATTAAAAAAATGATCATATATCATTATAAAATCTTACAAATGTAAAATAAATCATTTATTAAATTATCACCTGTTGTATTAATTCTTCAACTTGATCTCCTAATTTATTTTCCAGTTTTGATATCAAAGGCTCCTTTAACTAATATTAATCTAATATTATCATAATAATAATTACCGTTTTTACATGGTTCAATTTTTCCATAATAAGTTTTTCCGTGCATATTCGGTAGGCTGCGTTTTCGGGTATTAAAGTGAGAGCATATAAAATTTTTGAATAAAAATTCCCAAGTGTCTAATATTTAAAAAAAATAATTTACATTACAAATTAATCTTAATACCAAATGAGGAGATTTATTGACTGCTAATCCTGTAAGTCCCGTTGACTAAAATAAATGTTATTTAAATAAAGTATTAAGGAAACCCTCTTTATTATATTCGCCATAAGGATTTTTTATGACATCGGTTTAAATTTTCCAACTCGAAGTGGGTATTTACCAAAATCAAATGATTGACATTTACAACTGCCGTCTACTATAAACGACTAATTATTAATTATTAGTGAAAATTACCATGAATTAAAATATATCGTTTTATAATGTTTAAAATTATCACATCATATTTATCAATTAATTAAAATGTTCTGTTCGTTTATATATATTTATTGCATTTAAATAATAAATCAATTTATTACATTTCCTTAAAACATTTTTAAGTTAGATTTCCTCAATAAACCTCGTAGGTTTACGGTTCTTGATGAAAAAATGCAGTATTGGTAGCTTCAGTTACTGGCACAACTATTTCTGTAAGTTCCTAAGAACTTTCATGAGTCGGAATATTTGAACTTGTTTCAGTATTTTTTGAGGGGTAGGGGGAAGGCGGCTTTAATGGGGGTAGGATACTTTGGGGGGGGGGGGGTATCTATTAAATTTTGAGATCAAATAGGGTAAAATTTATTGCTGTAAAAATTAATACTTTTATTTTAGACCTATTATTATACAATAATTCATCAATCTATATATTGCAAACAATCATTGACATTATTTTCTAAATAAAACTTTCTGCTACCCTTACAAATTTAAACATTTTCAGCAAGCTCATAATGCTACAATAATGAATTGATTGAAAATGATACTATTTTATATTCACAAAATGTCGATATTTGATAGTATAGAGATAGAATAATTTAAGTTATTATTTTTAAAATTTATGATAGAGTATCATTATAATTAAAAAGGTGAGATAAAAAATAGGGTGGTGGGGGGGGGGGTAGGCATAGGTTTTTGAAGAGGGTTTGCATCTAGTAAAAATCCTGTCATGTAGACATTGTCCATTTCTAACCATTTGGAGGAGGAATCAACACCAATTAACCAATATCGCGAATCAACAAGTCCAGCAAAATCAATATGAATTCATTACCAAAGTCCCTTACCAATATTGTTGTTAAACGGCTCGTTTTGAGCCGATTTTAAAAAACGGCTAACTCAATATTTTATCCAGAAAATTATTACGCAAGACTGAAGATTTTGGTCATAGAAGGAACAAAGGTTTAGACATACATTATCAAAATCTCGAGGCTTTGGCAATATTTTTCTGGCTAAAATATTGAGTTAGCCGTTTTTAAAAATGTGCTCAAAACGAGCCGTTTAACAACACTACTTACCAACAGTCCACAAGATACAGAGGTATATCTTGAATTCCATGTCTATATTTCTGGCAAAACTTTTTATATCAATATTACATCTGGGCCACTAACAATATAATCTAAAAATAGATTTGATTACATTTTCTCCAAGATATCCCCGGTGAATCATTCATAACACTGCATTTCTTAATTTATTAAGAATAACCAATATCCCATTCCATTCTATAATATCATGATCGACTTAAGGTTTTTCCCTTAGATTATAGAAATTAATCATTTCTTTATTTATGTGACGATCAAAGGTCCGCCAACTTTTCTAAATGTGTATTGCTATTTATTTATTTTATATTAAATATTGCTTCGACTCTTTTCTGACAATTGCATGTGCTTCAAATTATTACTTAGGTTTGTATCTCCAAAGCATAGAATCTTGATTCTCTTCCATGTCTAATATCGGAAGCCTTGATAATGCATCAGCGATTACATTTTTACTACTAGTTATCTATTGTAAAATCATAATAAGAAGCCTTCTCCAGGCCCTAGTGTTCTCTGATTCTATTAAAGAAGAGGTTTTCTCCTTCCGTTTACTAATTGATTTAATAACACAGCCCCTAATCCTGAATCAGATGCGTCGTATTCCAAAATTATAGACAACTGTTTACTATAAGGAATTAAAGTTTCCTCCGAAGACAATAATTTTTTAACCTCATCGAAGGAATTTTGATCATTCTTCGTCTACCGCAAGATACTTTCACGCTCGAAGCGCCACTTTACTATGCAGATTAAGAATAAAATGTTCATGATAATTCACGAGTCCTAGAAAAGATCTAAGTTGTTGGATATTCTTAGATTTTGGTGCATTTCAGATAGCCTTCACCTTTTCTGGATTAGGGTGTTTAACTTTCATCAATTTCACCTTAAAACCAGTCGTCTGTAATCTGTTTAACATGATTCACAAATTGTTTATGTGCTCCTCATCGTTTGAACCAGAAATAATTGCGTTATCATAGACAGCAGTCATTTGGCAATCTTTTAGAAACTCATCTATATATCTCTGGAATATAGTAGGTGCACTTGCCAATCCAAAAGGCATTAGTCTGTAACGGAAATACCCCTTATGAGTCACTATCGTTAAGAATTCCCGAGATTCCGATTCCACTTATATATCTTTCAGATCTATCACGGTAAATTTATCATCACCTTCGATTTTCTCTAACAAATCGTCTAAGGTAGGAATAATTTGATGGTCATAAAATAAACACGGATTGGGGGTAACTTTGAAATGAGTTCAAAGCTCAAATTTGTATATTGCCATTTCTTTTGCGTACATTTATGGTTGGCGTTGACTACTGTACCCTAGTTAAAGTCGAATCAATCTTTTCGATAATTCCTGCAGCCACTAACATCGGTCTAATTCCATTTAAATTGCTTTGCGTGGAAATGGTACCCTACGGGCTGGAAACGATATTGGTACAGCGGTATCCTTTAAATGTATTCGTACCGCAAAATCACGTATATGTTCCATCTATACCTAGAAAAATTATTCGTATTCGATTAGAATTTCGAATAATGGAATTATTCGTATTCGTTTAAATCGAATAATACATTATTCGTATTCGTACGAATAATATGATTATTCGATTCGAAAATTTTATTTAACCATAAATTAAAAAAGATCAATTATAAATTATATATAATTATGCTAATAATAAATTATTTAAAAAACAAATTTGACTCTTTATCCCAGTGAAGTTTTGTCTGTTAGTGAGACCTGGTGCTATTTAAAGGTAAAGAATTTTATTAATAAATTATTTACATTATTATTATTCTAGGACGTCACTCGGCAAAACAATATAATCCTAATAGGAAAAAAAATAATACCACAACAAAATATATTGGTGAATCGGTACAAATTATTGAGTCAAAAATTGGTGGGAAAACATCATAAATTTTATTTTGGCAATCATTTTACAAGTAATGACTTGACGGAGGATCTAATAAATATGGGGTTTGATTCCTGCGGATAAGAAAGTCGCGCAAAATTTTTCAGACTTCAAGAATTATAAGAAAAATGAAAAGAGAAGATAGTCAATATTTCTTCTCCAGCAATGGTATATTATTTATTTTATTATATTCTAATAAAATATTAGGTTTGGGTGTAATCAAGTGGAAGGATTGTCAATAAGTACTTCCGTGATATCTCTGATTTGAATATTAATCTCGCGAAAAGAAAAGGACGGTACAATTATACAAGTTCCCTGCCCAACCGCAATTAAGGATTATACAACTAATATTATTTATGTAGATTACTGAAATCACTATAAATCCTTTTATGGAATCTAACATAGGGCGAAGCAATGGTGGGTACGCCGTTTCTTCTTTCTAATCGATGTTACTATTGTTCTTCATAAGTAAAGTTTTTGTTTATATTTAATAATTGCATTTTTAAGATTTTTAGATATTATTTTCAAAATAAATTTACTATGAAAAACTTTCGGCTAAAAATTACCGAAAATCTTTATCGCAAAAAATTATAATTTGGGATTATCATCAAATTTGATATCGATTCCTGCAAAATCATAAAAAAATATATGGCTGATAATATAAGGAAAAAGGGGTCGGATCGCAATCCCATTAAAATTCTTGCAAGTGATTTGGAATGCCATGGGAAAATACAAAGAAAGCGGTGCCACAACTGTAGCACCAAAAATAACGAAATTAGGACATCCTGGGAATGTTCTATTTGCAAAGTATCGCTACGCATTAACGTAAAAATAAATTGTTTTTTTTTCTTTTCATAACAAAATATAATTTATATTATATTTATATACACAGTAGGACAAAAAATGTCCCACCCCCATTTATAAATTTTTTTGTAATTTTTGTATTTAATATAAAATTTAAATAAATATCAAAAAAAATAAATATCAAAAAAAATAAATATAAAACGATCTCAGTCATTAATTTATTTAAGTTTTTATAGGTGAGCAATAGAGGGGCAGAAGGGTCCTATAAGTTTTAATCTTGACACCAATATTCGGCATTTTACAAACGAAGCCAAAATATTTTCATGTATTTGTCAAAAAATTCAAAGAGAAATTATTAGATATAAATGTTTCCTTTTTAGGAACACAATTATGATGAATTTTTATTTAATGGTATTTTAATATAATATTGTTTTAAATTAGAAATTTTTAATAAATAATTATCATAGAAGAAAAAAAATTGATAAATAAACTTTTTGAAATTTCGACCAGATTTTTAACTATGTTTCTTCAAAGTTTTATGCGATTTTTTATTGGTTAAGCTTTTTAAAATATGAACCTTTTATTTTGGCTGAGGCGTTCGTATACCATAAATTGATACTTGCATGCAGGGATGCGAACCCGACAAAATTTTTGCCCGGGTTCGGTTCGGGGTATAAAAAAAAGGTGGGTTCGGTTCGGGGAAATATTTTTGAACCCGGGTTTGGTTCGGGTTCGGTTCGAGTTCAAGAATTTTTGAGTTGATAAAAAAAATTCTATATTTAAATCATAATAAAAAACTAGACATAAATTTGATATAAAAAATAAATTTTTTATTTTATTTATAGGCAAATATAGTTAAAAATACAAAGCATATAGTCATGTATCAATTTTAAAAATTTTATTTAGACGTATTGGCATAATATCTTCCAAGAGTTGTTCACTCATCCTCGATCTATGTGGTGAAAGAATGAATTTCAAATGTGAAAAAGATCTTTCAACGCTAACCTATGTTAAATGTATTTATATGTGAAAATATGAAAAATTAACTTGGGTTGCAGGAACAGCAAATAAGATTTTAGATAAAATATATAATTCAGGGTGTTCCAGCTTAGCAGACTCCCAAAAATGCAAAATATTTTCCTTCTTATCTAATCTTTTATCGTTAAATCCAGTAATTATTGTTCCAATACTTTTCTCAGCAATCGTTGGCCCTCTTTTAAGTATTTTCTCCTGCCTTTCTTTAAGTTGTATCAATTTCTCTAAATCATCTTCTTGTTCAATAACTTCATCGGAACTAATATCATCAGATAAAATCGGCGTTGTTAAGCTTTTAATTCGTCTCCATAAATTGACAAGATGTTTCGCACAAATCTTATCATCATCACTAAGTAATACCTGTAATATTTAAGGATTTATATTGTTTATATTTAAATATTTCATAAAATAACAATTTTAATATAAATCTAAAATAATTAATTTACTAAGCTTTTAATTAACCTTGTATCTTGGGTCCAGGTATATGGCAGCTAAGAGAATTTCGTTCTTTATAAACCTTTCTTCTCTGTTCTTAAGACAAGAATATAGTAATTGAGCAAAATGGTTTGGATTTTTTTCCAGTTCGATGCAGCATCTTAACCATGCTGCATAAAAATCTGTCAGTGTTAACTGTTCAGATTGGAATTGTTTGGTTGCGATTTTTAGCGGTTTTAAAATTTCAACAATCGTTATTATCTCTTTCCAATCTTCAGTCAATAAATAATCAGATTGCTCTGTAAAAAAATCTTCGATATTGGGTTTTAGTAAAATCAACCTTTCTAACATATCATGGGTTGAATGCCATCTGTGGCAATCTAACACAGGCTTAGGGAGTTTTATATTTTTTAATAACTTTTGGTAAGTGGGATGTCTTAATTTTAAATTTAGGCTCCTAGCTTTTGCAATGGTTTCCACAATAGGTGATAATTTTATAGCATCTTGAAGTGCCAGCTGAAGTGTGTGAGCTGCACACCGTACACTATAAATCGGATAGGATATAATAGTTGATAAAAAAGTATTTTGTATATCATCAATATCATATTTATATACATTTACATCCATATTTTCCTCATCTGCTGATTCACTCCTTATATCATAATCAGTTTCAGGTTGCAGGAGCTTTATAGCTCTTAAAAAATTACAACCATTATCAGAAGTAATTGTGTATATTTGTTGAATATTAATTTTAAATTTTAGTAAAGTTTTTAATATATTCTCTTTTACATATTCTCCTGTACATCTCTCTTTCAGCTCTACAATTCCAAGAGTCCTCAAATTTATAATGGACTTTGATATAAATTGAATATTTACACCAAGAATTGACCTATCTAGTCGTTGAACTGCATCAACTTTTAAACTTATTAATTTTCCTTCTACCTCTCTCGATATTTTGTCTCTAATTGATTGGGCTGTTTTATTAATAGTTCTGGATAAATTTTCTTTGTTTATAACTAAATTGAGCCCAGATAGGAGTGGATTTATAATTCTTTGAAATCCCGAATCTTCAATAATTGATAAAGGCCGGCCATTTACAGTAACAAGTTCTAGTATAGAACTCATCAAATCATTAGATGATATATTTATACTTATATGCTTTTTTGGAAAAAAGGTTTCTATATTAATTTTAGGTTTTTTTGCCAATAACTATTCCTGATATTTGGTTTTTTCATTTAAATAATTTAAATATTCATTGTTGTGATATCTTTCCAGGTGTCTTTCTAAATTTGACAAGTGATTACCAGACATTTTTACTTTGCAATATGAACATATTGATTTTTTTTCTATTGTATTAAGGGTAAAATGCTTATCAAATATGACTTTATCTTTAATCTTAAATCTATAAAAAGAGAACAATTTTTTTAAATAGCAATGATTTCAGAATTAAAAAAGAGATATTTATAAATTTAATTTCATTTATAATATGCACTTCATTAATATCTTGTAAAAATTAAACTGAACCAAAAATAAATGATTAGCATATATAAATTTTAAAATCATTTTAATAAGTTCACAAAAACTGCCCTACATTTAACAATTTTTAAGTTAGATGTTTAGAATTTTTTAAATTAACAATATAATAATTTTTACTTTGATTTGTTAACCATTTTCTTCTAATTAATAATCTTTAAGAATAATAAGATAAAAATTTAAAAATAAATGGCGTAAATTAATTCAATTGTTTAAAATTTTTTAACACTCCAATAGGAATCGAGAATAAATTTAAAAATGGCATAAATGAATTAAGTTGTTTAAAATTTATTAAGACTTCATTTAATTGGAAATTTGAAAATATAATATTTGTATTTACATATATTAATATATGATTTTAAATAATACACTGAACCCGATTGAACCCGGGTTCAAATAAAATTCTTGGGTTCGGTTCGGGGTTTTGAAAATTTTATAAATGGGATTCAGGTTCGGTTCGGGTTCAGAGTTTTTTTCTAAAAACCCGGGTTCACTTCTCCGGGTTCGGTTCGAATCTCTGCTTGCATAATTTTAAAATAAAATAAATATCAGATTATAAAAAATAAAATAAATTTATCATTATTTTTGTGAATTTCAAGTGAATATGCGATATTAAATTTTTTGACTGAGACCAAATTGCGGGTTAAAGTTAAAAAAGTACTTTCTAATTTGTAAAATCGATAAAAATAAAGATAACTCAAAAAATATAAATGATACACCTATATTTAGTATTGGTATCATTAGGTAGCCCCTGAATCCCTTTCTTAAAAACAATCTAATTATTTTTAATAAATCGGAAAAGGTAAGGTTGATTTATTATCTGCTTGAGTTTAAAATTTTCTAAAATTTGTATATATTTATTTATTCAGTACAAATTTATCTTAAAAAAATTAAGTTGGGAAAACCATTATTTTTTTGTTATTTTATTTTTTATAAATAATGAAAAAAATCGAAATTACTATTTTTTTAAAAAATTTAATTAAAATATATAATATTTACTTAATTTTGAAATAAAATATCATATTTTGCCATTGATCTTGGTTACGCTCTTGTAATTTTTCTTTTGAGAATTTGATTTTCCGATAATTTAATGGGAGATTACTCGATTCCTTGCCATGAAACATTAATGTCATCAAACTAAATTTGGCAGTAGTTTCTTTAATTTAAAGATGCCTTTCTACTTAGGTCACAAAGATAATCCCATTTAGTGTTATATAAAAAAAACTTAATTGAATGGATTAGAGCAAGCATATTTTCTTTTCCATTTATAATTTACGAAAAACATTGATATATAAATGTTGATATTAAGAAAAATCACTAGAGATTTATTTTTAATTAAAATTTAAATAGTATTTTAATTAGAAAATATAAATTAGTATATATTAGTGCGATAATTGAGCGTTTTGGAGATAAAAAAAGAAACCCTGCTTGTGTTTTTATTATTGTTTAATTGTTTTTCAATTTGCACGATACCATTTGAAATGCACTGTGTTCATTTTGCATTATGAAACGCAAACGCTCAATTACGTTGAACTATTATGCCAGTAACTGTAATGTCTTTAAACACGGCTCTAATTAAATTGCATAAGTCTACTATCATGAAAATTCATTCGATTTGAAAGACGTCCACGATATCTGATCGATTTAATGTGGAATGACCCATATTGATTCACATTCAATTTAATTATAAATTATTTAATAATAAATTTTTCAAGTCCTATATATTTCTTAATTTTACGATGGTTTATGCATATTAGAGATCTGCAAAGTTAGGCCCGGCCCGTACCCGACCCGAACGGATTTAGGGCCGTTCTCGGGCCTAATTCTATTTAAAATAATAGGGTTCGGGCCGGGCCTAATATTTTTAAAAAAATTTTGGGCCGGGTTGGGTCGGATCTTGGAAATTTTATTAAATATATCTAAATTTATCAATTTTATATTGAATTTTTTATGTAAAATAAAAAATTTTGATTTAATTTATTGAAACTAAACGCTATATAATTTTAAGTAATTATAAAAATTAATTTCAATATTTAAATAAATTCGGGCCTGGCCGGTAAATTTTTTTAAAATAAATTTCGGGTTCGGGCTGGCAAAACTTTTTAAAAAAATTTCGGGTTCGGGCCGGGCCGGCAAAACTTTTTTAAAAAATTTCGGGCCGGGCCGGGCTTGAAAAATTAGGCCCGATGCAGATCACTAATGCATATATTTCACAGGAAAAAGATTTTCATACCAAAAGCCTCAGAAGTTATTTTCCAGATTCTTTATTTTATTATATATTTAATATAAATAAAAAAAACGTGATATAAAAAAAACAAAATGAACACTTGGGTCTCTACAGCATGTGGGATCTTACATTATGCCTAAACTAATCAACGGAAAAATTAATTTTATATAATGCACACGCAATATGGGAAAGAATAACTGGCATATATTTATTTTAAATAAATACAATTATTGCGCATCAAAATATTCATAATGTAAATTCGTATATCTATTAATCTATATAATCTCATCTATATCCGCCATTACCATATTATTACTGCTTATTTTGAAACTTGAGGAGAATACTTAGACATTGTTGTAAATTGGTTATGGCAGTTGGGATATCTTGATATTGTAGGGCACTATAAGCAAACTTGCATAATTTTTCAGCATTAGCGCATTCTAAAGGATCTATGCCAGAATGTTCTTAATATAATATATAATTTAGATTTAGTTTTCAAATGTAAATATAATTTAGAAGAACGATATTATAATCTTTTCCTTATTTTTTTTTAGTAATTTTACTAGAAACACTTTATTTTTATTTTTATGTTGTGAAATTTGTAAAAAATAAAATAATCAAAAAAATATATATAAAAATTGTAGATCAACTTTATAAAAAAAATCAATTCATGGCTTAATTGAAGGCAAAAAAAATTAAATTTATGTGGCTACGCTTATTGGTTAAAATTGAAAGTATTAGCTAATACCAATAGTGAGGAGTGATATAGGAATTGTTGTGATAATCGAAGATAATTTACATTTTTGCCTTATAAGGGTATGCCGATATTATAGGATCGGATCGTTACCGCTATTTAGCATTTTCAAAAATATAGGATCGGGCCATATTTTTAAAAAACCGATCTGATATTTTTTTTATATATTGTTTTTGATTATTTTATGATTGCATTGTCGTAATTTTTAAAGGGATCATGACGATCCGGGATCTTAACGGGATTTAAAGGGATCCCTTTAAAATTTCAATTTTTTAAAGGATAAAGAACTTTACGGTATTATCACTGGGGCAGAGATTGACCTCCAGTTGAATAAATCTTTTGATTAGCTATCGAATGATACCCTATACTAGACATATCTTATATCAAAAAGGCCAAAAAAAACAAAATTAAAAAACGAAACTCGTGGAAAACGCTTTTAAAATAAGATTCCTCTTTATCACGATTAAAACGTGATAATCGTATTATCATTCCTTAATTTTCAACCCTAATTTTTTAGTTATCCCTTTAAATCCCGTGAAGATCCCGGATATGTCATGATCCCTTTAAAAATTACGACATATATATAATTATATTTTTTTTTATAAATAATTTCATAATAATAAATTAATGAAACGAAAAGAACTAAAATACAATTTATTTGTTAAAAGTTAAAAAAAAAATAGTTAAAAATTTTACACTATTTTTTGTTATATTCTCTGCAACAAGAAAAGTATTTTAAAATATCTAACGAGTCACATTCAGCTAGTGTTGTTAAACGGCTCGATTTCGTCAATTTTAAAAACGTAAGATTTTGGCCAAAAATAAATTACTCAAGCTTAATGTTGTTAAACGGCTCATTTTGAACCGATTTTTAAATACTTAAAAACGGTGAATTAAATATATTATCCAGAAAAATATTACACAAGCTTTATTGTGAACATCTATTAACGAGATCTCGAGGCTTGAACAATATTTTTCTGGCCAAAATATTGAGTTAGCCGTTTTTAAAAATCGGCTAAAATCGAGCAGTTTAGCAGGAAAGCTTATTGATTTTGCACTCAGATAGTAGAAAGGTTTGGACTTCTATTGGCAAAATTTTGAGGTTAAGGTAATAATATTTTGCGGAAATCTTGATTTAGCCCTTTTTAAAAATCGGCTAAATGGAGCTGTTTAACATCACTACATTCATCCAATAAACATTGCATATTATAAATGAGATTATTACTTTTGGAGAATAGAAAAAATATACACTTAATCATTAGTGAAAATCAGTTAAATTTTTTTAAAATAGAAAATATTGATATTTTTATGAAATTGATACAAAGATAGATGATAAATAAAAATTACGGCTGTGTCGATATTAAATATCGGATCAAATCGGCACAGATATTTAGCTTTTTCTAAAAATATCGGATCGGGCCGATATCTGTAAAAACCCGATATGATCTTTTTACTTTTCTTTTTTATTTTATGTATATTTATTTTACATTAATAATATTTTCTAAATAGCAAATGCACAACACTCCTTAAATTTTATTTATTTATTTAAATAGATTTATAGTATTTTAAAAGTTTTTTTATAAAAATAGAAAGGAACACCCAAAGTTTTTTTATTTTAACCCTTCAATACTCCGGTGAAAAAAATGACGTTAGTACTCATGTGGGGTTTAATAGATCCCAATTTCAAATGTATATATGTCCAGTTATATTCATTATTTTGATTTAATATTTGAATATAAGATAGAACTAACCTTAAACTTGATAAAATATTTATTTATTTTTATTTCTTAAGTTTAGATTAAAGATGGTGAGGATAATTATAATTTGTGCCAAAATTTTCTAAAAAAAGCTTACTTTTTTTAAATTGGAAATTAAAAATTAAAAAAATAACTTATCCATCATATAATCCTGATAATTCATAACATGGATCTCTATTCTTCAATATTAAAAAAAAATTACACTGATATATTCAAATATAAAAAAAATATTGAACATTGAAATATGTTAAATTTGACAATCAAAACATTTGTTACATAAAATATTAATTGTGTTCTAAACATAAATTTATTTTGCATATTTGACAAAAATATTTAGTTTTTTTATCCTTTTTTCTAGGACACACACCACACCTTCCTATTGAAGGCTTAATATTTTCACTTTGTTGTTTGCCTAATATATTGTAAATAGATTTTTTTAGAATTCGCGGCAACCTGAGGCAATTTTTTCTTATTTCCAAATGGGGAGTAATAAGTTCCATAGATAATTTTTTAAGAAAACTACTTCTAGTAATTGTTTTGTTTGTGTTTGCAGTATATATAATATGGGAATTTATGGTTGTTATGTTTAAAAGTGTATAAAAAATGGTTAACCCTTCAATACTCTGGTGGGGTGTAGGAAACCCCAGGCATGCTGTAAATGATATTGCATAAAAACGGTTAATTATCATGATCTGGATTCTTCAGTAGCTTCATCAAATATATCTTAGAATCTATATTCCAAATTTCACATATTTTGGTTGAGTAGTTTTTAACATATAAGCATTTTGTGACTGCTTGGGGTTTGTGAGACCCCACCAGAGTAAATTCGTAATTTTTTTTTTAATTTTTTTTTTAAAACTTTTATAATTATAAATATATACCACTATATTATAAAATTTATTAAAACGAAATTTGAATATAACATATTTTGAATGAGATATATGAAATTTAAAACACAAATATTTTTTCTGGTGGAGTTATTTTATGTTTATTTTCTCCAACAAACTCATTTTTTAAATTATTTCTATCATCTACTATGATTTTTGCAGATTCTGAAAGTAAATATAAAATATATAAATGTAATATTTTTTTTGAGGTGATTTGGATGATATAATTAATAGTGAGGATGAAGATTTTATGTATGATAGTGATCATGATACACAATTTGAATTAGATGAAGAAGATATATTAGCTGAAACAGATAATAAGCTTAAGTATTATTTAGGTAAATATAAAATCATTTATCATAGTATATTTCTCTTTAAAATTAGCTAAAAATAAGGTTACTCAATGGAAAAAGGATTTTACCAAATCAGAGAATAAGAACTCGTCAGCAAAATATAGTTATTGATCAGCCAGGAGTAAAAGAATATGGGAAATTAGCTGACACTCCAGAAAAATGTTTTGACTTGTTCATAACACCAAAAATGATTGAAGAGATAATTTATCATACCAACCAAAAAAATAAAATTGTAAGTCAAAATTATAATCAATATTAAAGTTCTACAAAAGAAGTTGATATAACTGAATTCAAAGCATTATTGGGAATTTTTTATCTAGCTGGAATTTTTAAATCTAACCATCAAAATATGTCTGATTTATGGAAATCTGATGGGTTTGGAATTGATATATTTAGAGTAACAATGCCTCTTAAAAGATTCAGATTTCTAATTCATGCAATGAGATTTGATGACATACTAACAAGAGAAGAGAGAAAGGTGGTAGACAAAGCAACGTGGTAAATGCCCATTTAGACAATACATGCCAAACAAACCATCCAAATATGGCATAAAACTATACTCCTTGGTGGATGCCAAAACATATTATACTCTAAATCTTGAAATATATACTGGAAATCAACCAGAGGGACAATATCAAATAAGTAATAAACCAACAGATGTAGTCAATAGATTAATTCTTCCAATATCTGGTTCAGGTCGCAATGTAACCATGGATAATTGGTTTACAAGTTATGATATTGCATTAAGTTTACTACATACACACAAATTAACATTAGTGGGCACATTAAGGAAGAATAAACCACAAATTCCTAATGATTTTATATTAACAAAGGGGAGGGAAATCTATAATAGTATATTTGGATTTCAGGAAAACATAACATTATTATCATATGTTCCAAAAAAAAGAAAAAATGATAATGCTATCAACATTCCATCATAATAAAAATATTGATAATAATAACCAACAAAAACCTGAAATCATAACTTTTTATAATATGACTAAAGGGGTGTTATGAACAAGTCAAAACATTTTTCTGGAGTGTCAGCTAATTTCCCATATTCTTTTACTCCTGGCTGATCAATAACTATATTTTGCTGACGAGTTCTTATTCTCTGATTGGGAAAATCCTTTTTCAATTGAGTAACCTTATTTTTAGCTAATTTTAAAGAGAAATATACTATGATAAATGATTTTATATTTACCTAAATAATACTTAAGCTTATTATCTGTTTCAGCTAATATATCTTCTTCTTCATCTAATTCAGATTGTGTATCATGATCACTATCATACATAAAATCTTCATCCTCACTATTAATTATATTATCCAAATCACCTCAAAAAAAATATTACATTTATATATTTTATATTTACTTTCAGAACCTGCAAAAATCATAGTAGATGATAGAAATAATTTAAAAAATGAGTTTATTGGAGAAAATAAACATAAAATAACTCCACGAGAAAAAATATTTGTGTTTTCTATTTCATATATCTCATTCAAAATATGTTATATTCAAATTTCGTTTTAATAAATTTTATAATATAGTGGTATATATTTATAATTATAAAAGTTTTAAAAAAAAATTTTAAAAAAAATTACGAATTTACTCCGGTGGGGTCTCACAAACCCCAAGCAGTCACAAAATGCTTATATGTTAAAAACTACTCAACCAAAATATGTGAAATTTGGAATATAGATTCTAAGATATATTTGATGAAGCTACTGAAGAATTCAGATCATGATAATTAACCGTTTTTATGCAATATCATTTCCAGCATGCCTGGGGTTTCCTACACCCCACCAGAGTATTGAAGGGTTAAATCTTTTTAATAATAACGCCAATTTTATTATTTATACTTTAAATAAAAGAATTTTTTTTTAACTATGGTATCTGAATTATGGAAATATTTTACAAAAGACAAAGATAATTTTGCAAAATGCGTTATCTGCGGAATTCTAATTTCAAAGGGACGAATAATGAAAAATTCATTAATACTACCAATATCCGTAAACATTTTTTAATTATTGTAGAAATAAAAAATAATGATTTCTTAATTACATTTGAAAGGGGGGAAAATCAATATAAATATCGGATCGGTATCAGATCGTTTTGAACTAATATCGAAAAATATCAGATCGGATTGGTGAAAAATATGTGTTTCAGCACAACCCCAATAAAAATCAATATAACTATCGGATCGGTATCAAATCAATTTTTTTAGTAATATCGGAAAATATCAGATCGGATTGGTGAAAATTATGTGTTCCGGCACAGCCCCAATAAAAATCAATATAACTATCGGATCGATATCAAATCGATTTTTTTTAGTAATATCGGAAAATATCAGATCGGATTGGTGAAAAATATATGTTTCGGCACAGCCCCAATAAAAATCAATATAACTATCGGATCGGTATCAAATCGATTTTTTTAGTAATATCGGAAAATATCAGATCGGTGAAAATATGTGAATCGGCACAACCCTAATAAAGTGATATTCAAATTTATAATTATGGAAGTATTGTTATTCAAAAAGAATCAGGAGAGTTTTCATATCTTTTTCTTATGCAAATAATTATACGCGAAATAATTTTAGAGATTTTGTATCTTTACTTTTAACTAATTTTTAAGTTGATCCCATTTTTATTTTTGAGATAATTTTAAAAAAAAATTTTTTAACATTAATTTTTATAATTTAATATTTTAGTCTTGAAACCTCGTTTTGTAAGATCAAATGAGAGTAGAAGAGAAATATAAGGTCGATCGTTTCTAGAAGTGTTAAACGTGGTGATGGAAGGAGGATCGAACTATATGGAGATAATTAACAATATTAGGAGCGGCCCAGGAGGGCCTTCAATAAGAACAAATAGGAGTAAAGTAGGGGTATCATACCTCCTACCATGACCAAAACGCTGCCGGGCAGGGGAAATCACATCAATAAATACAGTACAGGACCAGCTCCCGCCATAATGAGTGAACCGTTAATGACCATACAAAACGAGGTTCCTGATGAACCAACAAGAGACTAATACCTCCCACTATGATTAGGCTTTACAAGAAAGGATGTTGTAATATTTAAAGCAAATTGGATTGAATTATATAGATTCAAAAATATAATGTGGAATATGATATCGTCGTTTTTTAAATATTATGATTTGTATTAAGTTAATGTAAGAATTTATTTTTTAAAGTCTTTTCTTGGTAATTTAATTTTAATTTTTATATTAAATGATGTTTTTTTACAGATATAATATATATCAGACTGCAAGCCCAGCCCTAAGCCTGAGTACACAGGCTAGGCCATATTTTAATTTTATTAAATATACATGGGCTTTTTTTTAAAAAAATCCAGCACAGTTAGGGCCATGAATGGTACCCCTACAGGTCTCTGATATATATAGCAAATTCGAAGATTGTTGTAAATGTTTATTATTAAATATTATACAAATCAAATAAGCAACCTAATCATTTTAAAAAGGTTTATATGGTGATTTGATAAAATGAAAAGATAAAATTATATATAAATTAGTTTAGTATTTCATTATTATATGGTTGTTTTTGTAACCCAAAAGTATATCAACAATATAATATTCACCAACACACTTCTTATCCTATTTTCTAAACCTAAAATATGTTTCAAATATAAGAGCCAATAAAACCATCCTGACAACGAAACATGGCTAATTTTATATCATCCAATCTCTTTATCTATCTTGGTAAAATTCTATACATTTAAATAAAATTATGTATTCAGATGAAATGATAAATAAAGTTTAAAAAATTTGAATAATGGATAGCAGAAGCAGTCAGGTAATTATTTACATCATCAGGCTTATTAGAAAAGAACATTATTATATTTAAGAAAACTAGTTAATACTTAAATTATACCAATGTTGAGGACATGGATAATGCCTATTTATTTGTTAATATATAATTATTAGAATGTCATTTTTAATTGCATAAACTAATTATTTTTATTAATGTAAAGAAAAAAAATATAAAATAAATTTTTTTTAAATGTTAAGTTTAATATTTTAGGTCTTATATTTTAAATAAAAAAAATTTCCTCACTACATTGTGATTAGAATATTACAATTTTATACATTAGGTCAAAAAATTGAATTAATCAAAATAAATTAAGTAATCTAAATTTTTTTAAATTTAATAAAATAATAATTATTAGCACAATTTAGTTAATTTTTTTCATTTAAATTTTTTAAATTTTGGTCTGATTTAGGTCTTTTGTCTTTCAATCTATTAAGTATCATGAACATCTCTATTTTTTATATAAAAAAAAATAGGACAATTGATTTTTATTATCTATCATAATATATGATTAATTTTTGCATGAATTTAGATATTAGATCAACAATTGTGAATTGACATAGTCCTATAATATTATAACGTGAAAAACACAAATTTTATAAATGCTATAAAAATTTTTAAAATTCAATTTATAACAATCAAATATATTTAATTATTTTTTTAGAATCTAATGCAATATTTATAAAAACTTTATACATTTCAATAAACTAAGTAAAAATTTGATCTTACCATCCATAGGAGATGTTCTATAACCCTGAATTGGAATATTATTTCTAATAGGAAGGTTATTTGGAATGGAAGGTCGAGGGTTATTGAAGATTTGGGGGATATTGTCATGATCAATGAATGTTGAAGAATTTATTGTTGTTTTATTATTGTTAGAATTTTTTATATTGGGATTGTCATGTGTATCACTATCAGAACTGTTAAAATCCTTATCACCATGAATAATATTATCTGATGAATCAGGTTTTCTTGATATTAAATTATTAGTGTTTAATGTTTTTTTGCTGCTTGAGTCTATTGGTAATGGCAAATCATCTGATATAGGTTCAGAGGCTAAAGTTTGGCATTATAATATAAATAGATTAAATGTTAATAGTTTCATTTTATGATAATAAACAAAATTAAATTTGATGCTTATACATTAACCTGATTGGGGGCCTGGCTTTGGTTGTATCTCTTTTTTAATACAATCATTAATGTAAGCAGCTTTCCATTTTGCATATTTTCTTTGTTGCTCTATCTAATTATAAAATTTAATTTCAAAAAATAGATTATAAATCACTTCATCTGTGATGGGCCCAAACAAAGATAAAACATCAAATAATATACTGGCTGAGAAAAAGGCTTTAATCACATTTCTAATTTTTTAAAAAAATAAGCTACAAATTATAAATTAAACTTATTAAAATTTGAATTCCTATCTTCAGTATCTGCATATACAAATAATTTTAAAGCATAGGCTTCAACATAAGCTTGTCCAACAATCTCACTAGTAAAGGTATCATTTCCTTTATTTTCTTTCTTTATCTATCGATATTGATAATATATAAGATGGTTAACATAACAAATACTTTCTCTAAAATTTCCATAAGATTGGTTAAATATAATAAGCATTCTTTGGAACTCTTGTTTATTTTCATCCCTTCCTGTAATGCATGTAAGCGGCCTTATTAAAAGATTATAATATATACAAAAATGTTATATAATTACAATAATATGCGATAACAGGATCACGGATTTGATGTTCATCAGCTAATCTTAAATATATCTGAATTGGTCTCAAAGTTTGAGGTATTTCTAAAACCATTTTAATAACTAAATTTACTCGTATTAAGCGAAAACTGAATAAACGACATCAATCAAATGGCAGTTACCAAAAATAGCAACAATTATAGAATATTAAAGATATAAATTTTCAAAAGAAAGTATTATCCAACGAGAATGATAAGTATCAGTAATGAATGAAATGAAGTAATGATATTTGCATTTTTATATTAAAAAGGAAAGACTTGTTTTAATGAAATTTATTTGTTATATGGTAAATATAATACTAAAATATTACAGGTGTTTTTAAGATGATGGATATTGGTGCAAGAATTTCGAGAGGTATCAATATAATAAATAAAAAAAGTGTCGATGATTCAATTTTGTTGGGACCCATATTTTTCTGAAATTAATTTAGTGGAGCATAACTAAAGAGTAAGAAAATGGGAAAGGTTAGAAGATACTGAATAGGATAAATTAATATATGAAAATTATTAAATTGAGTCTGCAAATATAATTACCCAATATTATAAATTTTATTCCTAAGCTCTTAGCTGTAAAGAAAACCCATGATAGCACTATAGATGCCTTCAAATCAAGGTTACAATTCTACGCTTCGTAGTTTAAACTACAAATGATGAACTTTCTGCACTTTCACAATACTCTCCCAAGCCTACAACTATAATGCTCTCTACCTCTACCCATTAAACAAATCCAAATTAGGGAATAACAACTCCCTATCCTCTTCAATTTCATAATATTGCATAATACCCCCACCCTAGATATGTTGTGTTATTCATTTTATAACTTGAATAAGCCAAAAGAAATTTGATAATAAAAAACAGTCAATTATCTTGAAATGAACTAGATAGAGTTCCATCCAACCCAGAATCTACTGAATTGGAATTATTGGTATTTTTCGAACGCGGGTTTAACTACAAGTCTCTAAACCCCTAATACTCCGAAATTAAACCCATTTTCTCTGAACCCAAGTCGAGATTGATTTCTGAATTGATTAAAGATTATATACATCAATATTAATTGATAGATTATTCATAAAATTTTACGATCTTATTACATATTTTGTAAATAGATTTGTTAAATCTTATTTATTTAATTCTTAGTTTGTTCTTCTTAGATAGTTTTATTTATTCTCTTTTGTGTGCATATAACATTTAATATTCAGTTTATTTTTGTTTTTTATATATTATATTTATAAATATTTTGATTTAAATTTTTATCATACAATTTAATTAATTAATACTTTACTCTCAGGTAAAAATCAGTGCCTATTATTTATTAATCTCATGATCTAAAATTTTATATTTTATTTTTTGAGATTTAATGTTTGATTTATTATAGGATTTTATTTATTATTTTTTATTTTTTTCATTTCATTTTTTTTAGACTTCAGATATTATTCTTTCAAGTGCATTTAAATTATTAAAAATATATCCATGCACTAACTTTTAGTATAAACTTGATAAATACATAAGGTAAACTAAATAATTTGTATTATTGATGAATTAAAAGAAAAACATAACAATTAACAAATTAATTTAAGCTAAAGATTATATAGAGTTTAAGGCCTCTAAAATTGACCATCTTTTTATACAGAATGTGATATATTCTCCCTCGACAATATATCCCTGCTTCAATTTTAAAATTATACTTTATGATCACTTCGCCTTATAGGTTCTCCCATCTGTTTTTAAAATTATTTTTGCCAAAATTGATTTGACAATTTAATTTAATTTAATTCAATTCCATTTTAATTCTTTAAATAATCTTTCTCACCTCCCCACTCATTAGTTTTTTTTTCTTACCAAAAGATGTTATTTTATCTCCAAATTCTTGCAAAACATAATTCTCTTCTAAATTATATTTAATTTAAATATTCGAATCTCCATAAGTAAAAAATTTTCTGATTTTAATTGGGTTTTCGCCTTTTTCTCGCTTTACCTAGCTCCTTTAGATTTTCACCCCCCCCCCTTCCCTTTAATAGCTATTTCTTGCTTGCGTCCCGAATTTTTCCTAATAATTCTAATCCTCGCTTATCGAGTTAATTTATCTCCGTCTTGATTCAGACAAAAAATATTGGTTCACCTTAGTATTTACAATTTATTAGCCGTTTAAATAGCTTCCTAGTCTCCAAGCTTTATTGTATTAAAGATAATCTAACTACTACAACTACTTATTAATATAAAAAAAATATTTATCAGGAAAAAAAGAAATGTTATTCACGAACAACGAGTTCCAAATTTTCAACGTCCTTAAGCAAGGTTTAATTATTACTTCTGTTGATACCTTTTTTGCTTCTAGCAAGCAGATAAACATATTTGGTAGACAGATACTTTTTTGCAATCAGTGGACGCTTTTTGCCCCACAATAATCTCAATAGGTTGATCGGTAAATATTTGATTTCCACCTGATTTGAATTCCTTTCCCCATTCCTTAAAATTTTTAAATTATTAGACTGAGAAATAAAGATTTTTAAAAAAACAAGAAACTCAAATAGAAAATTAGGAGGGCTTTTATGAAAGACTTCTCTATTCCTCAGTTTTTCCTTTTGCAAAAACTTTTAACCTTATTAGTTCTTGTTTATATTTTTTAAAAAATATATGATAAAATTCCTATTTCTCAGCTATTTTATATCTAAAATTTCTGCATTTCAAATTTTTTTAAAATTTAATATTTATTTATCCCCTTATTGCCTTTCTAACATATTATTTATTTATTTTTCATATATTCTTTTAAAATCTGTGAATGGAAACTTAGTATAATCCACTATTAAATTTCTAAACAGACGTTTATTTTTTCAAAACGAGAAAAATATAAAAAAGCTTGAGATCTTCTTTTTTTTTAAATTTGGAAAGGGATTTAAGTATTTTTTTTGTCAACCTTTTCTTTTCGGTTTATAAATTGTGCAATCTCATATATTTTAAAATTCGAAGAATATTTATAGAATTATATGCTAATATTCGAATAATATTATTAGTTTCTATATAATATATTTTGTATTAAGGTTATTTCAACTTAAAATAGACACAAAAATGTATACTATATGTTTTGCTAAATATGTTCGATTTTGTCCCATTTTAAGTTTGCTGTAAAAATAGAGTATCTTGACTGATTTTTTAAAAGGATATATAAATATATTTTACATCCTAACCTTACTGTGTTGATTTATTATGAATAAAAATTCGCTTTAGAATTTTATTCCAGTGCATTTGATAAGAAAAATGTTAGTTTTTATTGTAGGCTTTCCCCTAGATTTATGGGGCTAGTTACGCCACTGATTCGTGATGAAATAAATTGTGTACAAACTTTTATATTGCTTCATATGTCTCATAAATAAAAATATATAGAATTTTTGAATTTATATCCAACGTTGCCACGGCTCACGAGGAAAAAAGTAATACCTTCTTGTAGACCAAAACTTGGTAGCACATCATGGCAATGACCAGAATTTTATTAGGAAGAGGGCGGTTTTTTTAAAAAAAATCTTGAATATTTAGGCTATATTAGCCACAAAATTATACTATTCTTCATAGACTAAGATGAATATCCAAAGTTTTCAATTATTTTATTTTAAATTTATGAAATGAACAAAGAAATATTCAGGATAATTATTCATTTTATTATTATAGAAAATTTAGAAAAATTATTCGTTAATAATGACTTAATTTATATAATATTAGTGCCTTTTTTCAATTAAAATGTATACTTTTCGTTTAGCATAAAAAACATTTTGATGTTAAATAGGAGTGTGAAGGGGGGGGGGTGATTAAAGAGGCTACTTTTTATTAAAGAAGATATGTTTGAAAATGACACTGTGACTAAAAAAGGTTTAAAAAAATGTCTGGGCGAATTTTTACGAACTTCCGTTTAAAACAAGTGAAGATGACCATAAATATTATTTGAATATGAAATTATAAAAATTAACCTTTTAGATAATAAAAGAAAATATCATTTACTTATTTTTTTAAAAACGCTAAATTAGTTCTAAGAATTATTTTATAACTTTCATCTTTTTTTAAAAGAAATAAGTTATAGTAATAGATAATTATATAAATATGAATATTCGTATAGTAATTTATAATGTCCTCATCATCTTTTATTTCTCATTAAAACTTATTCGAAGTACTATATTTAATATTAACCTCAAATCTGATAAAGGACATAGTAATCCCTTTCTATTGCACATACCCTTTCAATTTATGAAACGTGATAAGAAAGGTAAAATATTTTAAAATTTTAAATTTTAATTTTTTAAGATATTGAATCTTGTATTTTTTAACAAAGAAATAATGTTTGGTTATTAATAATATATTAATCTGCATTTAAGATAATAAAACCTCAAATCCATATTTCTTCTCATATTGTTAACTCCTTGTAGATAAAAATCATATATATATTACCTTCTTTATTTAAGCGTTTTATAGATTTCTTTATTTAAGCGTTTTATAGTTTGCTAAATTGTATAGAAAAGAGAATATAGGTACAATAAAAATATTTTATTAATCATGTTGTAGCAGGTAAAATATATTCAATTTTTATGTCTTTCGTGTAATATTTGTATTTGCAAATAAAGAGTAATTTGCCCAATGGAAACTTAGCATACATTTTCATTTGTTATTGTTGTGTTCATTATGTAATATAGTTATGTAAGTGTTCTTCACTTAAAAAAGAAACGATTGGTACAATAAAAAAAAGAAATATTATAATTTATATGTTTTCAACTCAAAATTGTATTATTCTTTATTTTGCTCGATTTGTAAATTATCAACAAAGTATGCTTTTATATTTTATTCACTTGGAACTGGTCCTAAAAGTTCTAAGGATGGCTATTACACATATATTCTGTATATAGATATGTCGATGAATTTTTTTTTGTAAACAAAACTTTTAGTATATAAGAAGAAAAAAAATAATAGTCGCGCATTTAAATAATTATGATTTTTTTTTTAGTTTTGCCGGTCATGGGTTACTTTATTTGAATATTTACTGATATGATATGTTGTCAAAATATAGTAGTAAATAATTGATTTTTTAAAAAGTTAAA